AAGCCCATCAGGAGTGGTTCTGCAAACTGATGGCAATGATGTCATCCCAACTATGTCTGGTACACTACTATTTCAGCAGACCACGGATGACCTCAGACTCATCTTACTGCCCCTAGAAACGAACAAAAAGGGGGTAAATCAAGTAGAAACACAAGAAAGACATCACCATCCAGTGTTTGAGGAAGATTACCCATCTAAGAAAACCCTCTGTCACAATGGAAAGACCCCTCACGAATATCAGGAAATTGTGTCTGAAGTGACGGGAGAAAAAAAGTTCCTACTTATTTCAGGAAAACCAGTGAGGCAATTCGCTCAAGAGACAGAAAGAAGGAAGAAAATAAGTAAGGATCTAGAAGAAGGGGAAGAACAAAATGTAATGCATACTGAATTAACCCTAACCAGCAAAAGACAAAAACTCAGGGTAAGGTTAATTCAAGGCCAAGGGGATCTTCCTCCATCAAAAACTGGTACTGTCATAATGTCGGTGAGACACAAGGGGGGTATTTGGCAAGTAGGGTTGTCTGAGCCTCATGGAGCGGAATATGGGGAAGTAACACTGCAGGGGGCAAATCTTCAGCATATGTCCCCTGTCTCTCTAACAGGGAGAATTGCGTGAGATGAGTGGATAAAAATGGAAATACTAAAAATTACAAAGGATAATTTCCCACCAGGAGGTGTAGCTATCATGATTCTAACCACTGAAGATCAGAGGATAGCTGAGAGAGATGTGTACTTAAAATACGAAGGGGCTAAACAAGATGAGCTGAAATGGTTTGGTCAGGAAGCACTGAAAGACATTCAAATGCTTAAAATTAAGGCTGGACTGTTTTGGTCAGAAGAGGATGTAGGGATCCTTCTTGCAAGATTGCTTAAGCATGGAATCATGGAAAAGGGAGGGGTACTTGACTCTCGTCCCTGGGAAAATATCTAAGGAATCATACCTCCTATAAACCGTAAAGTTGGCCAATGTCACTTTTCAATCCCACCAAAATGGAAGGAATTAAAATAATTGACGCTTTGTACAATAAAGACAAGGATTGAAAATTGTTGAGGAGACAGGCAGATTTAGACCTCAGATCCTTGAATGTTAATGGACTGGCATCGGCTAAAACAAATAAAAGACAAGTAATTTACGACCAATTAAAAGGGATTGATGGAAAAGAATGGCCAGATGTAATATGCATCCAGGAAACACACACCTAATGGATACACATATGCATAATTATCTACACAACCAGATATGGCCTTACCAATCTTATAGGGCATATGTTATTTCTCCAGGGAGCTCAGGGGTAGCTATATGGATCTCTCCCCTATCCTAAGCAGAAATTACATGTACAGTTAAAGACCAGGAACAGGGTAGGTGGGTGTATGTTTTAGCCATGCTAGAAATAGAGATGGTGCGGATTATGTGTGTGTATGGTCCAAATGAAATTGGGGAAAGACAAAAATCTTTTGAAAATATATTCCCACGATTACCAGTTGACATTCCCTTGATCATAACAGGGGATTTTAATGCCGCCCCTGATAGATTTTTAGATAGGTGGCGACCTTACTCCCCCTGCCCAAGCTACATGACAATGGATGAGAAGATAATATCTAACTTATGTCAGTCCCTCAATCTTTTCGATTCTTATAGGAGGTTAAATCCAACGTTAAAAAAATTTACGTGCTTCGGAAAGGGCACCGTCAATATTAACTCTAAATCTCGTATTGATTTGATTTTGGTGGCAGAAGAATTACAAGGTGCTCTCCAACTAGCAGAGATTTTTCCCCAAAGTCCTTTCCCAGGATTGGACCATGCTATGTGCGTGGTAATTTTGTCCTTCAGAAAGAAACCAGATCATGGGAAAGGATTCTATCATCTAAATACTTCCTTCCTCAAGACGGATTGCTTCCTAAACTATCTCCGAGACGTGTGAAATTTTTGGAGAGAGCAAAAGGATCATCTACAAGATAACATTAAATGGTTCAACAACGGTCTAGCTTTTTTAGGCCGTAAATGCAATGAATATTCTAGACTAATAGCAAGACAAAAACACACCAAGGAAACCCTCATCTATAACAGAATCCATGAATTGCACAATCAAGAGATTGACTCACAAGAACAAGATGCCCTAGAACCAATAGCTCAAGAACTACAAAATCTAGAAACTCAGTTACTGACTCAAATGGAGTATCGATGACAGGGGTTAAGAATAAGGGGTAAACTTAAAATTCATAATATGGAAGGATCAATGGATGCACGATTCTTCGTCATGGCTAGAGCAAGAAATGGAAGAATAATCATTGAAGCTCTAGAAGACCCTGTACACCACGATAAAAATATAGTCACCTCGACAGGAGCTTGCACTAAAATTGTCAGGGATTTTTTCAAGACACTTTTTTCTTCACAAAACAAACACATCCCAAAAGAACAACAAATAATAGAAATCGATGATTTTCTTCGGCCATTAGAAAAAACAATATCAGAAGAGCAAAAGGAGATAATGGACAAACCTCTAAGTAAGGATGAAATATGGAAAGCCCTCTTACTGATGGAAGAAGATAAATCCCCAGGCATAGATGGTTTTCCTAAAAAATTCTGGGAAGCTACATGGAATAATATTTCAGGAGATTTAATGGATTATTATCAAGAGGTATGGGCCTCAGGAGAAATGGGGGAATTTGTAGGACAAGGAATTCTCACACTTCTATACAAAAAAGGTGACAAGATGAACATAAGAAACTATCGTCCAATAACCCTTCTCACGGTGGTTTATAAGCTAATAGCAAAAACTTTAACAAATCGTATGACCAAGATCATGCCGGAAATTATACACCCATCTCAAACAGGGTTCATAAATGGGAGGAATATCCAGGATAATATTCTTCTGGTAAATGAACTTCTGAAAATCTCTCGCCAATCTAAACATAATGCTGCCTTTATCTTCATAGACTTTGAAAAGACATATGATCATGTGGATTGGTTTTTCCCGGATAAATGTTTGGAAAATTTTAATTTTGGACCAAACTTTAGAAGATGGGTGAAAATTTTACACCAAAACGCTACAACTAGAGTGATGGTCAATAATAATTTGACCCCCTCAATTTCATTAGAGAGATCTGTCAGACAAGGGGATCCCTTGGCACCCTTCCTTTTTGTCATTATCATGGAGGCACTAGCAGCAAACTTAAGACAACACAAAGATATCCGTTGCATACAGGTCATTAGCATCCCAGAAGAGGCGATTGCAGTCTGTTCCCTTTTTGCAGATAATTTAACTATAATGATAGATGCTACCAAAGAAAACATGACAGAAATTCAAAAAATTATGGACAAATTTTGTCTCCTCTCAGACATGAAAATTAACTGGGGTAACAAGACAACTAGATGGTGGATACATCACCAAGGAGAGCGACCACCAGAGTTACCTAGAATTAAGTGGTTACCCTTGGATACCCCAATCAGAGTACTAGGGATCTCACTATCAGCTGAAGGAAAACCAAAGTCCCATAATGAATGGATCTCTCAACCAACTCAGTCTAAATTCGAAATATGAAAAAATAAACATACATCGATTTTTGGCAGATCAATGATAATAAACAACGTAATTCTAGCATCCGTTTTGTATAAATCGGCGATCTGGTACTTGGACAAAGTTTTCCTCAAATCCCTCCATTGCGAAGTATGGGGCAAACCTTTTAACGCCCTCATCGATACCGGCTCCTCTGCGGTCGCTATATCATTAGAAACGGTGAAAAAAACGGGACGACTCAACTCGATTCTCCCTCAATCTGGCAAGGACAATTACGTCTCTGCTGACGAAGAAGCAATGAATATCATAGGAGTCATTGAGAATGTGACCGTGAAAGTTGGACGAGTACACGTCCTCGTTAATGCCTTGGTCATAGATGTGCACTCATACTCGGTGTTGTTGGAACTGCCTTGGGCAATGGCGGTAGGTGCCCGCATGCATTTCGATTCCAAGCAGTTGGTGCTTATGCAAATATGAGGAAAGCCTCGGACAGTTCCGTTGGGAATTTCAACCCGAACAGTTAAAAGGAATCCTAATTCTGCTCGGATAGGGATGATTCAAGGTCCCGATCAAGAGGAATTTTCATCTCCGGATAATAGTAGCGGATTCGAAGAATAGGAGTGCGAAGAAGGGATGCCTAGTGAGAGTGAATGGAAACACTTGGTCGAACTTTTGGAGCACGAAACTCCAAAGGAATTTCGGATGGTTTCCAGAACCACACAAACTTTCCACTCTAGTCTAGGAGACAACGCGCTCGCGCCTATGGAAACCCAGGTCAGTCCCTCGACCTTTCTCGGAGAACCCATCTTGCAAATATCTGACCTGGCAGACGATTTGGAATCCCCTCGCACTTTGTACGAGGGAACACTCTCCCTCCTAGCACGCTATCAACAGGTGAAACAATACCTGGATGTTTTTGTTTCCCCTCCAAGGTTGCTACTTACAACAGGAGTGACCATCGCTCTGATAAAACAAAAAGTCGAAGCTCCCGTCGAAGATGTGCCCGATCTGATGCAGGAAATGGTGGATTTAACAGGACTAACCGTGGAAGAAACCACGGCTGATTCGAAAACTGACACCGAAGTTAAAGAGACCGAGATGATTAACCCTGCAGAATCCCAGATGATCGCGACTGTATTTTCTGTCCGCACTAGCAGCTCTATTTTCTCTAGCGTCCATGACCGACGGAATCGGCCTGCTGATTGGATCGACATGCCCCTTGAGATACCCGATCGACCGACTGTCACTCTACCGGATCACGTCCCCCTGGAATTTGAAAATCACTGATTAACGTCTTGAATGGGTACGTAGAGGTATTTAGTGTGCGCGATAACGATATTGGGCTGTCTAACGTGATTGAGCATGTCATCCTTACGGGGGATCATCCACCCATTAGCTGCGTTCCTTATCGATACTCACCAGCCCAACGGGCGACTGCGTTTTAACGAATTAAGGAATTCGAAGCTAATGGATGGATCGAACCCACTATAGGACCTTGGTCGTTTCCTGTGGTAATCGTGCCCAAGAAGCCCGGAGGGATTCGCATATGCATCGATTCTCGGAAGCTAAACGATATCATGATCAAAGATGTGTACCCCCTTCCCCGGATTGATGAGCTGTTGGATGCGATTGGGAGTGCTCGATTTTTCAGTAAGTTTGATGTTCGACATGGGTTTCATCATCGTCTTGTTCGAAACGAGGATCGTCCGAAAACGGCGTTTGTGTTGTTCGAAGGTACTTGGCAATGGGTTCGATGCCCCATGGGCATCTGCAATGCTCCTGCAACCTTTCAGCGAGCCATGAACATGGCTTTTCGGAAATTTGTGCTGAAGACACGTCTGACGCAGAGTATCATCAACTATTGCGTGATTGTGTACATGGATGATATTATGGTGTATTCGAGTTCCTACGAGGGGCATTTGCAATACATCGAATGGACGCTGCATGCATTGAGGGATGTCGGTTTTAAGGTGGCGCTGGAGAAATGCCAGTTCTTTCTCACCACCATTTCCTTCCTGGGACACGTGGTGACAGACCACGGACTCAGACCGGAACCGCAAAAGGTGGCAGCTGTGAGAGACGCGCCTGTGCCCACGACTATCACGCAAGTTCGCGCCTTTCTGGGCCTGGTCTCGTACTACCAAAGGTTTATCAAGGGCTTCGCGGCTATTGTGGGTCCCCTCACGAATCTGCTGAAAAAGGATCAACCGTTGATTTGGACGCCAGAGTGTGATCAAGCGTTTTCAAAACTCAAGGCAGCTCTTATTTCGGCTCCGGTCCTTATAAGGCCGGATCCCGAAAAGTCTTTTGTCCTCATCACAGACTGGCAGCCGGAGGCAATCTGAGCGATCTTGGCCGAGGTGGGACCGGCGGGCTCGAATGCGTGGTGGAATACCCGTCTAAGTCGGTGCCTGCCTGCAAACGCAATTACGTGTATTACACGGTTTCATGGGGTGGACTGTCATCCTTTTGAGACCGGATTCATTGATTGGGTGGACTGTGCCACGTTTGTCAATCATGCACACAGTGTATGCGTTCGATACCGAACGAATAGTAGGGAATGGAAGTGCCCTCTGTGTAGAACGGACAAACTCCCTACCGAGGTTCGATTCGAGGCTGCTTGAACGGACAACCTTGAATATGACAAGAAATACTGACGAGCGGAGGTCTGGACGGATAAAATTATATTAGCTAAATTGGCCGGTTTACCATTGGATCATCTCACTAAGCACAACAGAGGTCGGGCCACCGAGAGATCCCGGGATTACCGATGGATCAACGGTCACCTGGAAAAGCGTAAAAATGACGGATCGGGTTTGTGGTTGACGGTTCCCCATCCATTCCAGAGATATGATTGGACCCGATCTGCTCACGAAGAGCAGGCCGCTCATTTCGCGAGATCATAATCGGTGGTTCTGGTCTAATATACAGGACGATGTCAGATACGTGGTCGCGAACTGTCTGGTCTGTGCCGCCGACTGTGCCCCAATACGGGGACCAAACACGATAGTGTCGACGGAAGTAGAGCGCCCTTTCCCGCGAGTCAGTAGGGACACGACAGATATCGACGTGCCACCTGGCCCAAACCGTTGCGAATATTCCATCCTTTTAGTTTTAATAGATCATTTTTCCAAATACATCGAGGTCTACCCCTGCAAAACCCGTAAGGCCGCAAAAATAGCCACGTACATGGATCGGTTCGTCTATACCCATCTAGATACGGAAGAGATTCTAACCGACAACGGGTTCGAATTCAAAGGTGGGGTAGAGGAATTGCTCGCATGCCGAGGCATTACACTTCGACATACGGCACCCCACATTTCCCAGTCGAATGGGTTGGCCGAAAATGCCAATCGCATGATTAAGAGTGCCCTTCGTAGAAATCTAGCGGTGCGTAACACACGTCCTTGGCCCGAGATCGTATACCAGATCGTCGGAATTCACCGGGCCACCCCTCACGAATCCACGGGGTTCACCCCCTTTCAGCTTCGCACCAATAGCCTCCCATGTGTCGATTACCAGGGCAACTCAGACATTGCCAAAGCCGGGGGTAGAGACACGCATGCCGCCCTTAAGGCCAAGGCCAAAAGGTACGCCGATTTAATGGAAAAGGCCGTCCCGAAGCTAGCCCGAAAGAGATAGAAAATGACTGATCTAGCCCACGGGAGGCAAGTCCGTACCTACGAGGCCCAAAATGGAAACGCCAGTTCCCAACATCAATATAAATTAGGGGACCTGGTGCAGGTACGTAAATGTGCACGCGACCGGAAGCTCGCTCCCAAGTTCTCTGGCCGTTTCTGCGTTTTCAAGCTCGGACCCAACGGTGCCAACACGGTGCGCATTGCGCCCGAGGCCAGCACCAACCATAGCTCTGTCCCCATCGTCTGCCATACCTCTTACATTCGTCCCCTCCCTCCTTCTGATCTCCCTCCGTCTCCCTCGTCTGCTGAAAACGAGGACAACGACGATCTAGCTCCCGCCTCGTTCTCTCCCTCTTGTTCCCATTTCTCATCTTCTTCCCCGTCCTCGCCATGAGTTTCATCACGGAGCAAGCTCTTGCCAATCATCTGCTGCAGCCACGTGGCTACATCTCGGAGATCCTGCAGGTTCGTCATCCGCGGCCCAGTCCTGATCTTCGACGGCTGGCGCAGTTCTTCTGCACCGAGGGTGTGTCTGCCGCCGCTGCGTTCCGATTTGCAGGAAGTCCGCAGGCAGTAGTATTGGTAGAGGTGGTGGCCTTTCATCGGCGGGCGGCTCCAGGAATGAGCCACGTCACCACGGTGGCTGCCTTCAGCGACGATATCAGCGTGGTCAGCCCGCTTCGGCATACCGCGATCCTGACCACATCACGGGAGTGGACGCAGCAGTTATCGACTGAGTGGCAATACTGTCTTGCACGCCCCGGGTGCAACCTTGTCCCAACGTACGGGACTGACTTCGACGAGATCCGCACCTCTACGCGCCAGCCGGCAGTTGTGCTCCCCACACTCATCCCCTTCCAACGCCCCCAATGAACCGCGCCGCTCCTCTCGTTCCTCTCTCCATCTTTAGTCTTCCCTCTCTTTTTCCCACCTTCTGGCAATCCGACCTTCATCCTCGCCTTTCCTTCTTACTCGAGCCCCTTGCAGTCCCGCTCCTCGATCCCAGGCATTGGCGAGTGTGGCGCGAGACTTTTGATGATCTGTCCGTGTGCTTGGCCCAAGTGGAGGTGATGTGGACGAGGACTGACGAGCATTAGGCGTGTATTGAGTACCTGGAGTTGTTGATTATCCAGGCTTGGAGAACTGACGTAGAAGGCGATCTTCTCGGGTTTCTTTTCGGATCGGTGCGGCCAGGCCATCGCCAGCTAATTGTCCAGGAACTCGTTGTCCCGCTCGCGCAACTGGTCGACGACCTCTCTCTCGACATTGTTTCGCAAGGTGACGAGAGTCTGGCTCCGCACGTCCTTACACGAACATTGGCACCGTATCTACAGTGGACTGCGTGCTTGGAGGAACCGGGGAGTGAAAGCGCCCTGCCGTCGCGGCAGGAGTACTTGAAGCCGTCCGGAATCATCAATCTTGCCTTCTATCCGAAGCAAGATACGTCCGAAAAGGCGGTAGAAGAGGAAGAGGAGGAAGCCACCGAAGAAAAGGGCGACGTTGAAGAAGAGACATCGGAAGAAGGGAGTTATAGTGAGCACAGCGAAGGAGAGCAGAGTGAAGAGGAAGAAGAAGAAGAAGAAGAAGAAGACGAAGAGGAGGAAGCCGGATCGGAGTGGGAGGCTTTGCCGGAAGAAGAGGCGCGCACAGGCACGGAGGCGGAAGATCCCGAGGCGGCAAGTAAGAGGGAAGAGATCGCCGCCGGGAAAAACCAGCTGGAGTTCGCCAGCGAGGCGAACCTGCGCATCAACGACGACCCGACCTGGGATCCAGAGCCCCCCAAGCCCGAAGATGGCGACCCAGCAACCGCGGCTCCGAGCGCATCGCGACGGAGACGAAGCCGATCCCCCAGTTCGTCCATGTACAGATGCGGGGGATCGGCCTTCGTCCCCGGTCATTATCTCGCCGTCCCCTTGACTACCTCACCCTCAGTCAGATCTCTACCCCCGTCACCTTCACTCGCAAACCCTTCCCTCCCAATACCTTCCACCACTTCTACTCCACCCGCCTCGCCGTCACCGTCCATCCCCATCCTTCCCTTCAATGTGCAACCCCCGCGTTCTGTTTGCATGTCCTTTTGTTTAGTGCGGCGTGGGAGCAGAGCAACGCAGTAGAAGTCTACTGCCGCAGTAGAAGTCTACTGCGTAATCACAGGAACCATCCCCGCATGCCGCCATCACGAGTTATTTCGTGCGGCGCTCTTCCGCACTTTCTCCACCCTCTACCCTGATTACCTCGCCTCCCTCCCTCACAGCGGCGATCGATTTCCCCGCTTCCACCGGATCATCCGCTACGAGGAGCTTCCAGTGACAGTGGAAGGGATGGATCGCTACTTACCTCCAGTTCCCCCCAACCCTCCCCGTCGACACCCCTCCATGTACAATGTCTACTTTCCCATTCCCACGCGGCGCTGATACCTGCCACATGTCGCGACGGCGGCGCATCCCCCCCTCTTCTTGTCAGTGACCATCGACACGTGTCCCCCGAGCAACTCGAATCAGCAGTTTCGCGAAGATCACGCCATTGACGATGACGTCAACACATGCTCTGATTCGACGAATAGCGCTGGACTGGAGTGCAGAGCACACAGAGACCTGATGGACCATGATGGTGCCACCTGGACGATCTCCGAAGTTTGAAGGGCAGGGGGTTGCATATGACAAGACTGAAGAGGATGGGGATCCGAGACAGCATGAGCCGGCATGCATCACGAAAATCTTGCCACGGATGTTGTCGTCAACCCATACCCCGGCTCAGTTTTCTCTATTGACATAAATTGTGCTGATCTAAGCCTCCTACTTCTTCCTGCTTCTTCGTCTCCTCCCACTTCCTTTGTTCAAGGTTTTTCATGCAATCAGGAGATCGCATAATTTTGGAACCCCCTGCGCGTCACCTATGTGACAAACCACTTCCCGACCCCGTGCTATCTTTCGTACCCCTTGACTCAATTCCCCTTTTGTATCATACTGACCCAACAAAGCCCCCGTCGCTTTTCTTGATTTCAGGTGCCTTGTTTAGGCCCCCATTTTTCGGAGGTTCTATTGATTCTTGGAATTCTGCTTTTTGTAATTCGGGAAATGCATGGGAAATTTACGCGCGCCTTAGCGAGCTCACTGGGAATCGGGCTCGACAGTTAGGAATTCCGGAATAAGCGGAACCCGACGTGTCTTTTTCTTTGCATGAATGTTCTCGGTCACGTCGGAGAAAACTCTAGGAATTTTGTGAGAATACCGATAGGCATAGGACTTTCTTTTCCCACGTCGACTTTCGCGCGTGGATATGGTGATTTCAATTTTTGAATTGGTGTAGGACATAGGCAAGCTGTAACTGTTTTGGTGCCTTTTTTTTTTCTCTTGTTGTCGGCGCCGCGCATGCGAGCTTCCTCCTCCTTGTTTCCTGCGTCATTCTTCCCCCGCACTCTCTTCTCTCTCCCTTCTCCCTCCTCTTCTTCTCCTATCGCAACTGTTTTTCCCTCTCTCTACTCTTTGCGCGTCTGTTTTCCCTTCTTGATCATCTGAATCTTGGACCCGTCTCGCGCTACTTTTCGCGCCTCTTTCCTTCTCGATCTTCAACCTTGGCTCACGAAACCCAGTTGATTCTTCAATTACCCCCGCTCACCAAGCAGACGCGTTGAACAAGAGGATCTTCCTGTTGCACGACGAATCTGATTGGCTGAACATTGAGTTCCGAAGGATCAACATGGCTTCCCTTGAGCACCCCTCACTGAATCTTCTCCTCTTACACCTCGATTTCCCCTCTGTCTTCTCCCCCGCCTGTCTTCTTTTTCGCAACTATAAATTTCGCAAGCGCGGCCACAAATCTCTCTTACATTTTTCACTCGCCAGCCAACTTTTGGGAAGCAATGGCTAGGTGATGTGTTTGGTGCGAGTCAAAAAGTCGTGTCGGGCTGGCTGTACGCTGGCCAGTTGCGCGCTTGATTGCTACAACGGACTGTGGGATCCAGGCGAGCCGTGTCGAGCTTGCGTCAGCGGGGTGACGATCGCAGCGGCGAAAGGCCGCGGAAGTTAAGCACGTGACGGCCGGGATCGTCGGTGCGGGTATGAGGATCGGTAATTGGAGTTGAGTGGATGATTGCCCCGGGGCCATACTGAAATTTCAGGGCGAATGTGCCTTCATGGTTGCGGATCATTTTTTTTTGTGTGAGTTCATGGCTGTGAAGCCGAATGTTCCCTTGTCGGATTCCGGTGTCGCCTGTCTCGACATTTCTCGTCTATCTCTCTCTCTCTGATTTGAATGACGATGTGTTATGAGTCTGTTTCTTCCATGAACAGAAGTGAATCCTCGTGATTGCCCGCACAGAAAAACTTCTTCCGGACTCTTCCATTAGTTTCCTGGGTAATCCTCGGATGTGAGGGAGCTCAATCCTCTTGTCTTGTGAACGGTGGATGCGTGTGCACTATCCCCCGATTTGTTTTTGATGCACCATTGTCATTTTCGCACCTTCCACAGTGGATGTATGCATAGGAATGCTTGTATGTGAGTTAATTGTGTTGATTAGACTCAGAACTCGACGGGATTTTGCTCAAGAATGCAAGAGTGTTTAGATTTGTTGTTCTGAACACACTGCGCATGCCATCTGCCTTATACTGCACAACATCTGCAGACAGTCTATGGGGCAGCCTCGAAAAAACCAGGCGCCTCGGATTTTTGTCGATTTGGTCTGCTGAACCTGAATTGCGGGTGGACCCCCTCGAAACTCCACCCCGATTATTGCATGGTTGTACGGGCTCTGTAAGATGCTTCCCTCGTGTCGAAAGGAAGAAAAATGTTATTTGGTTTTTGCGATTGTGCTTTTTGATGACGTCCCAGGGTTTCTGCAAATTCATTCCGATTGATTGACATGTGTACTGACGGGCGTACCTGGATCGGGTGCCAGCCTCCCGTATCTCCCTCGCCAACGCGCCCCTCCCTTACAACGAGGAAAAGACACGTGTTTGCGAGTGGGACGTATGAGAAGTTGTCGCACGGATCTGCGGACGATATTACTTCCCTCCTGAAAATCGTTGTTCTGGATTCGTGGACGTGGGCTTTGTTATTATCGATACGCACTACCCGTCGTACTCAGTACTATTGCCATTTGACGAGCCGATCGTCATTCCGTGGATGGCAGTGGCGCCCCATTGGCCTCGAACCTTGTGCATTGAGTGCCAGCGTTTCGATCACAACGAATCAAAGGGTTTCCACTACTGAATACGGAGTGAAGAGGAGCACAAGGAAAGAGCCACGCGGCTGAGACCCTCCACGTCGGACTCGGAACTAACCAACGAGCGACGTCGGGACTTGATACGGAAACGGGACACGTGGAGCGTACCGAAGCCCTTCCGCTCTAAACGAAGATCCTCAGCGCGGTGGGAAGTTCGACAATACTTTTTAGATTGAATTTGGATTTTTCTCTTTTCGCGCCGTGCCCGCGCGCGCATTCCGCGACGCGCGAAAGCAACCGACTTACTTCATCGGACCAACATGGGGGATTTCAGTTCTGTCTGTTTCCTCACACTCAATTTTCCAAAAATCGTTGGCACACCCCATCTTGCTGTTTTCCTGGGCCCTCTTTCCGCACCCTTAACACTCCAAACGGAAGACAGCACAGGGCGTGAGGTTTGCGCGTCACAGGATTGGATGTTGGCCCTGCCTCAACAGCAGTAGTCCGAGATGGCGTGGGGCCTCCATTGGGAGTTGCCAGTAGCTTCACCTCCCTTTACATTGTCCCCCACCCCCAACAGAATAGCAGGAGTGTCTAAAGCCGACACTCTCCCACACACCCCACTCAAACAACTTACACTCGCACTCATACCCCTGTTGGCCAATGACCCTTCGAAAACCCATCAGAGGTATCCAGTGGGTTATCACAGGTGTGCTGGTTGGCACTAAGTGCGCCCACAGACAGTTATGGTGTTCGAAACCGCACCCTCGTGAATTCCACTCCCTGCCTAACCAACTGTGCTCAGCCACTGCATTCAATTATACTCTTTTTTTTTTTAAGACTACACTGACTATATTCTTCTCTCAAATTCTTTCATCTTTCAGCACCTACCTACCACCCCTCCTAAGGCTATACAGGGGACACCTGCTTGCATAGCTATCTAGTAGTTTATTTCAACTCCTGATGAGTTTACTTTTAACTCATCAAGAGACTCAGTGTGTTAACTTAAAATAAACTATATAGTTAAAATAAACTATATAGTTAAAATAAACTACCACACACTACCTTTTCTTTCCATTTTTTTTATTTTTGTTTCCAGTGATCAGTTGATCAGGTGCTACACTTGGTGATCTTAGCCAAACGGTGAAGAGAAGGGCATAAACATATGATAATATGCTGCCTCCGCAAAGAAGAGAGAAACGGAAAAGAACAAACAAATACTCATATGGCTGAAGGAATAGTTCCCCCACATGTCCATCTTTTTTTTTTTTTTTTTTTTTTTTTTTTTTTTTTTTTTTTTTTTTTTTTTTTTTTTTTTTTTTAAAGCGGGCCCTGTGCCAAGGCTGATATTATCAAAAGAAGATTGAGGCCGGGGCCCTCACAGTCTACCCGGAATGACAAAACAGAACCTACTGAGAACCGGGCTCAGCGTCCCTCCCGTGATGCTTATACTGTTCATGATGATGCTGTAAATCGAGACCACTGCCATTTCTGAGGGAGGGAAGGGATCAGGGAATTCTGAGAGAGGACGCATCGGTACTGTAGCATCGATAGTAGTCCAATCATGAAAAACCAGTTTGTAGTCCCTTTTAGTCACAATGTCTTCATCACTCTCAGCCCCTTTCCATATAACTTCTCCCAGATTGCCTCCTTGGTTTCCTTGGTTTCCGCCCAGCCAATTTCTGCTGAATTTTCAAAAATGTGATTGTATTTCTGTTGTATTGGATAAAAATTTAACTTTTTCCTTTATTTGAGACCATTTTGTTATGATGTCTGTTTCAATTTGTTGTTTAATACTTTCCGTAAAGTCTGGTTCATCCAATCTGGCCCCTTCCCATTCAAAAGTACATCTTCTCTTCCATATGGCCCACATAACAACTCTTCTACCTATACAGAAGAGGTTGTCTATAAATTCCTCCTGATTTTTCGTCGATTCGTGGTTGGGGGTCCATGTCTCTAATAAAATGGTTTTCCATCCCCATGGGCACAAGACCTGTGGGACTACTTGTGACCAAA